ACTAGTAGCTTCTTGTTACTACTAGTAAGGCACTTGTTTCTAGAAGCGATGCACTTGTTCCTAGTAGCGTCCTTGTTCCTAGTAGTAAGGCCAGGAGCCCCGTTCGTAGCTGCACCATTCGGGGCGATTCAGAAGGATCATCTTCGCAAGTTCCCAGACAAGTCCCAAAGAGGCCACAAATGGAGAAAGTGAGCGTTTCACAAAAGAAAAACCATGTCAACAAACTGCGAATGACATGCCAAATTGCACCCTCGCACTTGCAATGTTCAACAATCCAAAATAGGTGTTAAAAACAAAGTGTTAGTCTATAACTCTAGCAAAAAGAATGCATTGGATGATGTCTTGGTGCTCGGACATCTCGCCAAACTCCCGGAGCTTTACTGAGAAGGGATGCGCCTGGAGAAATATCGTGATGTCATCTTGGCTCACCTACACGATTTGGGGGCGTGAGTTTAAGGTTCAGTGGATTTGTACGATCAGTTTCATGTCTATACTTTGTGCCCCGCACCTATTAGATGATAAAATATATCGAAAACAGTTGTACTCCCTAGAAAGTAGCTCACTCCACCATTTATCTTGAACCCCAAGAACCTGCAGCCAGGTCTTCTGACTCCCATTCTCATTGGATACTTGATATACTTCTAGTCTAGTTGTAAACTGAAGTTTAATGGGAAAATGTGAAAAAGTTGAAAGCTGCACCTCCATTGCATCTGCCACAAGATCAACCACCTGCGGCGCTGCAGAAGTCGCCGTGGGAGAGACCCCCCAAGTTGCTGTGGAAAGCGTTGTTCTTCGTGGCAAAGAAGTAGAACGCAGGGAAACAAGGATGGTCTAGTCTAAAGGACTTCAACCAGGTAGAAACAGAACAATAAGGAAGGTATCTAATTGCTAGATGAGAGGGGTCAAGGATAAATGTTAAGGCCCAAAAAGCAGGTCACAGACCCAAAGGCGATTAACCAAGTCTATAGCCTTCATCGAGCCACTCTGCCCTCCAACCTGCTAGCGATGGCCTCCAACCTACTAGCAATAAAGACTAATAAAGTCTATGACCTTGTTCAAGAATAGATTGGTCAGTGGTCCTGCCAGTGTCCAAGGACTTCAACTTCACAGCATGTGGCGTTGCCATACGCCGTCAGCAACTCCGTGTCTACGGGTAAACTAGAATGGCTTTCAATTCCATCTATGTGTTCCAACTCTTCAGACCTTTTAACTCTGGATCGTTCGTTTTGAAGGAACCAAGGGAATCGCTACTAGGAGCAAATACGCTACTACGGGCTCCTGGCCTTACTACTAGGAGCAAGAACGCTACTAGGAACAAAGGGCATCGCTACTAGGAGCAAGAAGCTACAAGGGCATCGCTGCCCGTTGTTTCCTTGTCTCTTGTTCCAAAATGTCCCACCTTCAACTTGTGACAGCGCCGCACGTTATCTTGGTTTGAGGTGGCGAGACCTGAGATCCGGTCAGCACATCCTTGATCGATCGAACAGAGGAAAAAGGAAACACAATTGCAATTGATACAGGAAACTTGTTACTAGTAGTAAGGCACTTGTTACTACTAGCGAGGCACTTGTTACTAGTAGTAAGGTTCCTCAAAAGGAATCAGCTAATACAGGAAGCGTTGTGGTATATAGTTGGAGACATATGCAAGACCAAGTAGATACGGACAAATCCATGCCGCATTGGGGGGCATGCCTGTAGATAGAAAAGGTGCATGATCTATTTGGACTCAGGACAAACTAACAGTATCCCTGGTTCGGTCTAAGTCCACTTTTCTGATGCATGTCCTGCATTGCCCCCACGTCGCACAATTCCGTGCATCTCAAGGAGCTTTGCAAAGCCGAGGCCCCAAAGGCAAGCACATTGGCGGCCTTGGGGTTTGCCTGCATGGCCTGCAAGGCTAGTAGATTGGAGGCCATCGCTGGTAGGTTGGAGGCCATCGTTATTGGGTTGGAGGCCTTGGGGTTTGCCTACATGGCCTGGTCCCAAGGCTCATTCGGTGGGTTCGGAATCAGTGGCAACTGACAACTGTTGCTGAATGTCGCGCCGTGTTGAGCATTGCTCCCTTGCTGCGCAACGATTCAAGTCCACGGTTGCTCTCTTTTATGTGTGCCTACCATAAATCAGATCAAAGTGTGACCAGGCCTCAATGAACAAAATCCTTCCTTTTCGGAAGTATCCATTGGATCGTATTGGATCCTTACAGTTTGGAGGCCATCGCTAGTAGGTTGGAAGCCCATTAGTAGCAAAGGGCATTACTACTAGGAGCAAGGACGCTACTAGTGGCTCCTGGCATCGCTACTAGGAGCAAGGACGCTACTAGTGGCTCCTGGCATCGCTACTAGGAGCAAGGACGCTACTAGTGGCTCCTGGCATCGCTACTAGGAGCAAGGACGCTACTAGGTTGGAGACCATTGCTGGTAGGTTGGATGATCATATTGGATCCATAGGTCCCATGTCCCTCGCCCTCGCTATTTTGAAGACAGAATGAGTACTGGGTGGCTGGTGCCGGGCAGCTTAGGTACCAGGTGAGGCACTGGCTAGGGTGAGTTGAATTGGTTGCAATCTTTGTTTGGTTGGTTAGGCCGCAAGGCAAGCTGCATCCTACCTACAGAGAAGAGGGGCAGGTCTGTGGCGCTGGTATGCGGCAAGACGACCATCGTCGATCCGGCTAAGCCGTCTCAATCTGGCGCACGTGGATAGTGAGGGTGCTGCCCCTTTTGCCTGGTTGTCGGAAGATGACGATGAATCAGGGTTTTTATGGTGCCAAAGCTATCAAGCCAACAGATTTTCGGTTCGTGAACGCACCCCGTTGCCGAAAACCAGCGCGGCTGGAGAGTCAGAAAGCCCATCTCCGAAGGTGACGAAGTTCCGAGTTGGTTCAGTGATGCTGTTGCGACATGGACGACGAATTTTGACGGAGATGGGTAATGACTGCGGCAATAGGGGACAACTGCACGCAAATTGATAATTAGGTGCATGGTGGCTACCGTCGTTCGCTATGGCAAGAGGAAAGAGTAAAAAATGGTTGGTTGGTTTTGTGTCGTTTTGTTTGTTGTATGTTTTTTATTGGTTAGTGTTGGTGTGTTTTGCTCTTTTGGGTTTGTTTTGGTTGGTTTGTTTGTTTTGGGCTCAAGTATGCTTGAATTTCTAGCGCTTGGCAGCCCCAAAGCCAAAGTGGCGAGCCCTTTTAGTGTTTGCAACCCCTTGTTGCTTTGCGGTAGGTCGGAGTGCAATCCCTCACCAGACACACTCTCTGGCAAAATTGTGTGCAATGGTTGCCTTGAACTACATAGGTTGCAGCAATGGCGGTTACTGTCTTGGTATCCTTGCTAGACTCACTGGGTTTTGTGCAGCCCTGTGGGCATCGATTCTTCATGTTGAATCTGCTTGGAGTGCTGCAAAGGAGTGGCCATAGCTCACTTCTGAGCATGGGGTGTTGGTGTTTCTTCTTGGGACGGCCCCTACTGACTCCCGGGGAATGATTCTTCCTAGTTTGCACAGGCTTGTCTTAATTTGGTGTATGTATCTAGTCACAGGCGACCGCCTTCGACGCACAGAAAAGAAAAAGTGTTTGTTGTTTGCTTTTTTTTGCTTGTTTTTTCTGTTTGTGTTCTTGCTTGTTTGTTTGTTTCGCTGCTGAAAGCGCTTCAGGACCCAAGGCCTGTGATTGCAGGCTGCAGACAAAGCGGGGTGAAGAAGTAAACGAACAGCTACACAGGATCAAGAAAAATCAAAGGACGAAACTTGAGCTACTAGTAACAAGTGCCACGCTAGTAGTAACAGGTGCCTTACTAGTAGTAACAAGAAGCTACTAGAAACAAGTGCCTTACTAGTAGTAACAATAAGAATTTACACCTTTACACCTTTTTCAGACCTTTCTTTCGTTACGGTCGCTACGGTCGCTTGGAGGCCATCGCTCGACACCTGCACGATGGCTTCCACTCCACCAATCTCTCCGATCCTGGAAGACTATCTGTGCACGACTGGCTGGGTCTTTTGAGGTGTTGCACTTGTAATGGTGAATGGCTAATTGCAATCATTTTTGACATGAGTCATGTTCTATGGTTGTGTTTATGGTTTCAAGAACGCTACTAGGGGCTCCTGGTTTAGACTCACAAGAAAAGCAAAAGGATCCGAAAATCAATTGATGTCGCCTTGCAAGTGTCCTTACCCCTTTCTTGTCTACAGACAATTTGAACTCAATG